TGCCTAAACTGTTTTTCAATTGGATCTATTCTGACAAATATCATGAAATTATATCGTCACAGCTAAGAAAATATATCTTTTTTTGTTGTTGTTGCTTTTTACTTAGATTCTTTAGAGGTTTTTTTTTTTTTTTTTTTTTTTTTGCACAATCTCTTTGCATTTGTTAAAATTACTTTATTTTACTTTTTTCCCCAACTGGTCAAACAGTAGTAAATGTGATAAAGTTGTGGCCTCTTTGCAACTTCAGTAGTTAAATTATTTCAAATTTATGTAACATTTGCCAAATTGAATTACATTTTCTTGATAAGTTCTCTGTTATGATTTAAATCTTAGTTTGTAATTCATATCAGTACCTAAATATTTACACTCTTTGACCACAGGGTTCGCCCTGCCGCAGTGACAGCCAAATCTGGCTCTTTGTTTTGTGCTTTGGAAAATACAGAAAATATGTTTTATCCAGATGTTAATGTCAACATGAAATGTTCAGCCAGTTTAGATGAGTTTAGTTCCAGTGTAGTTCTTTAGCAGCTTGAGGCAGTTTCTGAATGTTCATGTCTGATATTGTATTAGTACTCACCAATACGTTGCAAGTGATGAACTCACTGACTACAAACCTGTACAAGGATCTGGCATTAAAACAGGACAGCCAAAGGCTAAGGTCCTGTTTTCTTTATTAAACAATTTTATGTAAAAAAAAAAAAAATTAAAATCTTACCACAGAAACTAAGGCATTTTCCAATAATGGCAATATTTTAGGTAAACCATAGTCATTATTCCGTGATGTCCAGTTTTATGCAAGATTAAATTCCCTTATTATTCCCTATTTAGTTTCAAAATTTCAAAATTGCTAACTTATGATAAAGAAATAATTTTTACCTCTTAGGCTGTGATATTAAAGCTAGAGGGCAGCATTTCACCCATGGGTTTGACGTTTTTCAAGAACTTGCGTCGGTTTGCCAGTAGGTGGCAGTGTGAAGGGTAATCAACATTTACCAGAATATAACTTCAATAATATTCTTCCATATTGACCACTTTCAGGAAACTATTTGTATCGCAATTGATTTAGATGTCTGTTGTTTCATTATTTTGGTATCAAAAATTACCTTCAAATTTAGCTTTTTTTATGTTTGTTTTATTTCATGTTTTAGGATTTATTCAGGCCTGCCATTAGTCACAGTAGATATCAAAGAAGAACAATATGCATTATATATGAACAGCACTTTGAACAGTGTCATGATTACTTTAGATTTTCAGCGTTGGCCTATTGATGAAGAGTTATAAACTTCAGAAATTCACTTGTGACTCTAAGTGACTCTATAAGTTTCTGTAAACAGATTCCCGGATGATATGAAAGGAACAAACGTTTTCCACCAACACTCAATAGTGCAAAGTTGCTGCTTTTCCACATACTCTTCTATGCAATACCAACTATTTTTTGTTGTTGAAAGAATTTTTTTTTTAATCAATTGTTTCTCATTGATGTATTACCAGATATATCATCTAATGGCTGTGGAATGGATAAAAGATGATTCCAAGATGCTGGTTTTTGGTGTATTTCTTGAACAACAAGGTTTCTAATATTTGTAGTACTCCATACCATCCTTGTCAGTGTCCATGGCAACAAGAAAATTTGGATGCATACCCAGCCATATATCTCTTGAACTGTTCAGTCCTGACTTTGCCTATATATATGTATATATATATATATATATATATATATATATATATATATATATATATATATATATATATATATATATATATATATATATATATATATATATATATATATATATATACATGTATTTAACTTAAGACAACTAATACACTTTATTCATATTTTGTTAAGATCAACACACATCTGCATGTTTTACTGAATAATATCCCTGTAAATCTCAGTTTCTCTGTAAATCTGTTTCATAGAAAATGAAGGGGCTTTGATGGCAACTAATAGTAGTATGTTTAGTGAACTAAAACTTTTTTACTCTCTTAAGATAATCTGCTACTCCAATAATCTTTTTACATATCTTTACTGTCTGTAGACAGTGCTGTAAATTAGTCATGGGCGTAGGTTTGCATAGGGACCATAGGGACATGTCCCTGCCAAAATTTTGAACCGACCTAATTGTCCCTGCCAATAATTGGATGTGAGCAACATGTTTATAATTTACAGCAGTAGTTGTTGCAGCAGTGGCTTCTTTTCCTCTCGCAGTTCCTCTGCCTGGTCTCTCCTGTCCCTTTCATGTAGCAGCGCATGGAACTGTGCTGCGCTGTTTAACTCCACTCTCATTGGTTGTTCTGCCTTAGGTTCCGCCTCCTCTCTCTCTGATTGGCTGTTTTCTAGTCCTGGCGTGCTTGGAGCACAAAATTGAAAATTTATTCACACTAGAATGCTGCGGTTACTACAATAAATATTAGGCTACAAAACTAGTCCCAATAAAAAAAAAATGAATATCATGTACACTAAAAAACAAAAACCTTTTTTTTTCTTTTATAAAGCGAAATATTCTGAGTCAGCCAGGAGTTCTGAAGACACAAAATGGGCAAATAAAGGCTGTAAGCCATCAACATTTCTGATTCTTATCCACAGCCAACTAAAAAAGAAAATGTGAGGGTTTCCTTTTTACCAATATTTAGTTGCTATTACTGTTTTCATTTTTTATGACTCTTTGAGAAAGTTCAGGTATAATTATTAGCAGGTGTTATTTCTCTTATAGAGTACAACAACAAGAAATCGGGCCTAAACATCTGCTGTTTTTCATTTAAAAAGCATAATTAGGGTTCCACATAATAATAGTTCTATTTTATTGACTATTTATACTTCTAGAAATAGGATAAAGACAAGAACAAAAAAAGGAAGAATATAAACATTGATTTTATCTTACATTGATTTCCACACAGTCTATAAGTAAATTAGTACAAACATTAATGTCTGGTAAAAATGCTGGAATCTGGCTGTTTATTTTGGATAATGTTAAATTACAGATAAGATAGTGTTATATTGTCTTTTATAATTGTTAAAAATTATTTTATATTTGAATACGGTACAATTAGGCTCATTCTTAGTGTTGTGTTCGTAGATGATTCCACTAAAAAAGAAAATAGACATACAGTAAGGAGCTATTTAAACAGTCAGACAGTAAGCAATATAGGACAATGATAAAAGGTTGTGTTACATTTAATCCTTTACTATTAAAATTGCACTTATACATTATATGATTATAGGAAACACAGATATCCAGTAATAATGATGCAGGGCAGCTTGTAGGTAAAGCAGCTGCCCTTCAGTGCTTCAGGTGATGTCTAAATAAACCAGGTGAAACTAAAATATTTCCACATGAGGAGTTCTGGATGGAGAATATTGACAGACAAAATTTTTTTTTAAATCTTATATATATATATATTGTATTTTTACAATTTTGGTATAATTACTGATCTAAGTTGATTGTTCTATAGGGGAAAGGGACATTTATTTTACATTTATATTATGTTTTATAGTCTCCATTCACCAGTTAATGATTAATCACATGCTAAATTAGTTGACGATTATTGAAATAAACTATTAATACGATTCATTTTTTCAGCCCTAGATAAAATACATAAAATGGGCTATACAGAGTAACTACAGCCCAGATGTTCAACTTTTATAGTGAAGTTAATATTTTATTGAATGTATTATTTTGCTGGATACAGAGAGAGCATAGTAGGTAAAATATAAGAGTGGGGTTTAACTCTGCACAATTGTATATCTTCAAAAGAAAATACTGTATTTACCTTCTCTATTAGTCATGCAAATGAAACCATTTACAAAGTGGAAAACAGTCCTAATTCCACATTCATCAGAGCCAGTGATACTTCAAACATTGATCTAGTGAGTGTAGTGCTTATAAAATTTTTATTAATGTAGCAAAATGATGCTTTTCTCTTTTAACAATGAATTCGTCTTATCAGTACGGATGCTCACATCGAGCATAAAAAAGGGCATGCATATTGCAGCACCAATGACACCCGACCAATAGTGTCCCTACCAAAGTTCAAATCAAACCTACGCCCTTGAAATTAGTGATACGCAAATCTGCACCACCAACAACAAAAGCTTTAATTAATACAGTTTCAATGTAAATGTACTTTTTGAAGAGACTGATAACTTGATCAAATGCTTGGCTTTCTGTTTATGAGTCCTAATGTTTTTTTATTGTAAACTAGCAAAAAAAAAACTCTTTGAAAGTTCTAGAGCAAAAGCTTAAGATCATTTTTTTATGTTGTGATGATGTTCCAATCAGTGTTTGGACTGGAAAGTAAATAATATTCTATTATGATACCATACAGTTGCTGCACATTCCACACAGAAAAGAGAAACCCGAAGACCTCTACGCCCTCAAGTGACTCCGCTTCAAAGGATCAGATACAGAGTGTGATATCCATTTCTAAACGATAGGGGGCGACAAATGTTCAGCCAGGAGGTTTTCTTTTCTTTCCAGGAGCCATTAAAACTATTAAACAATTGTAATTAAGTCGTCCGGACCTAAATTGAATATTACTAAAAATATATAAATGATGACGTTGACAAATAAAGTGAATGGGGAAATGTTTCATACTTCTTTTCTTAAGCAAAAATATGATAGATAGATAGATAGATAGATAGATAGATAGATAGATAGATAGATAGATATCCTAAATGAAAATGGTTTCTTTTTCATCCCTCTGTTATGCAAACAAGTTATCATTAACATGGATAAATTAATAGATAATGTTTTAATAATAAAATAGTCAAAAATGAATGTAATAATAATAAATACATGATAAATCATGTCAATAAATAACTTAATTCAATGCAAATTATATACTTAAAAAATAAACTCAAAAAACAAACTTAAAAAATAAAATCAACGCAAGGTCTAAGAAAATACTAGTTAGGTAATCGTTAAATACTGAATGTGGGCCAGTATTTTTAACAGGAAACACAGTTTATACAGCATATCTCAGTTTTATTTTGAAAGTTCCACCGGAAGTGTATAGTGTATATTCACGCGCGCTTAGCTACGTTCACACACAGACAGGGAATTCGCTGTCAAGAGGGTGGATGCCAAGAGCTGGTGAGCTAAGCTTTGATTAAGTTAACGTGTAGTTTAGATTTTTTGGTGGTGCTTTATCGAAGCTGTCGGATGTCCTCGCGGTTGAAGCGTTAGACCTTAAATAACTGTTTCCTGAGCGTCAGTATTAGCTTGTATTTTTCCCTCCCAGCGCCTACATTCGTGTCGCAGAGGGTTAGCTGATTAGCTAACAGTTGCTCGCTTAGCTTGGTGGCTAGCCTGCTTAGTACCGATACATTCCTCATGCGTCTATTATCGGACGCACCTCACTCAGCCAAGCGCACTTACGCTTTTCGCTTATGTCATAAAATAATATATCCGCTGGAACTTTAAAATTGTCTCCCTTCAGTATTTTAGATACACCCTAAGTTTGTGCTAATGTCGACAACCCATATTTTGGTACCCAAGACCCCCAGCATGATGCCTCGCTGATGAGGCGCCTCCTCGGTGGCTAGCAAAAGAGGAGCGGTTCGCGCTCTTGTTTATTTTTGTTGTCACTGCCACACACTGCCTCAGATTTCATCCACATCTTGATTACGTTTAGCCCAAGCTGAGCAGAAAATATGGAGAGGATGTGTCCTCCCCAGCAAGCGACTTAACTTGCCGTTGTGTCCGATAACGGACCTGGGCGATCACGGTCTGAAGTTATGTGCCACTGTCGGTAACGACCAACCGAGGAAAAAAACGATGTAGATTAACGTTATTCCAGCGGGTGACAAAGACTGGCGCTTTTGGGGTGTAGCGGTGTCGTTTTGTTCAAATAAAGTGTATTTGGTTGAATTTTATTTTTAGTACATCAGGCGGGTGTTGGGGCTTGGGGTGTCCACCGGGCGAGTGAACGGACCTAGCGGTGGAAGGGACCGGCTGTGTAGGCCGTGGCGTTCCGTTGTCAGCCCCTCTCCACGCGGTTGTCCTCCGCAGGAGCCTTCCCGGCGACAATTGGCGTTAAAAGGCCGTATTAATAGCTGCGACATAGTGTTCCCATGACTGGAGCCATGACATCCCAGCGAGTTTCGGTGAAACCGGCTTGTAGCGCTTGCGGGGATTCTCTTATACTCTCTGTCACCTTCCTGCTAAATAGTGATCTTGTCTCTAAATAAAAGTTGTTGTTTTTTTGTTTTTACAACAGATTCAATAGATTGTGTTGCAGTAAGCTAAATGTTTGGGGTTGAGCTGTTGTATTGGTTGCTGGGTTCTCCTGTGAGGGAACAACAATTATGTTCCAGGTATCTAGAATATAAAGCACAGTTATGAGGGATTTTTTTCCTTTCTACATGTCTATTGTGAAGATTTACAGAGAATCTCGTGGGACAGATCAGATTGCATGGATTGTTATTTATTATTGCGTGAGATGGGGCTGTTTTTTTTTTTGGAGTTGTCCTGCATTCTTCTCAGCCTTTGATATGACAATTTTCCTGTCAAAGCATTAGACTTAGACCACTTTATTAATCCCACCAAGGGCGGTTTGTGTTTAGCAGTACACTAGAAAGAAAATATAAATATAATCATGTAATAACATAAAAAAAAAAGATTATTAAAAAAATATGACATTGCCCCCATTCCTGTTGTAATAAGGTTGCAATACCTTTCTAGTAGTTATTATGAAGTATTTTCCAAAAATATCGGACAGTGGTCATTTGGAAGCTAACGGATTCCCAAAAATAACTTATTTTAAATGGGTCATAGAATGATTATATAGGGTCTCTGAATAGGGTGTGTAATATTGTTTGGGCTGAAAAATGGTATATCTGCTGTTCTATGAGCCCTAATGCAAGTCTGGTTAAGAGCCCCAGAATGAAACACAGGTTTTCTTCCTTTTATGGTACGCTCCTGAATATTTAGATGAGCTTTGTGCTGATTGGCTGGTTTACAACGAGCGAAGCTTCTGAGCAAAGACGCATCATAGCAACAAGCACTCTTTCATTGAAACATCGAATTGTTGATATGGTTGGGTGACCAGGCGTCCTCTTTTTCCCGGACATGGCCTACTTTTCATACCTAAAAAAATGTCCAGGGAGAATTTCAAAATCATCTGGGGTTTTGGTCGACTACAGTGCAGCAGAACCGAGCCGTCAGCTCTGGGGCTGGTCGGGGCTGGGGACAGAGCGACCGAACCCGACCCGGTGATGGTAGCCTGGACATTGCCTGGAATTCGCCCGTTTTATGGTTGAAGTTTAGAATTGTGAGAGTTGCAGAGAAAGGAGGTGTCAATGGGGTTTGAACTTCTCTGTACGTCCATTTCACCCATTGAAATGTCTATGACATCTATGACAATGTAAACTCGGTTTTGCATTCTATAAACCCTTTAAGCTAAAGCTGTGTCAAAACTACGCTAAGTAATTTACAACTGGCATGTCTGTAGAACAGAGTAGTCCAAAGATCAGCCCAGCGGCCATTGGCGACTAATGTGATAAATGTTTGGGGCTCCAACAACACTGAGAATACTACAAATTTGATGCTGATGGACATTAGATTTTATGAAAAATGTGTTAGATCAATTTAGAATTTAGCTTCAAACCTCAAGTATTTTAAATTTAATTGCCCCCCCCCCCTTTTTTTTAAGTGATCTTAAGTTTTGAAAGCTGGTAGATGGGGAAAATGGGTGTAGAGAAAGTAGAAAGACACGCGGCACAGTTGACCGGGCCAGGGCTTGGGCCGTGCTCCTAAGCAGCATGGGCATACCATTTTCTTAAACTTGGCTTAATACTGCAGTATAAAGACAAATTTTAGAGTTGGATTGAAATTTTTTTGATACGTAAAATATGTTTGTATCTGAGCCCAATGCTGGAACGGATCAGCTGGACCCTTCACAGCACCACTGTAGAGCCTTTGTTCGCATAATGTTTGAACTGCGGAAAAATATTTAGTATTCTCACTAATAAACACTGTAGAGCCTTTGTTAGCATAATGTTTGAACTGGGGAAAAATATTTAGCATTCTCACTAATAAACAGATTTACTTGAAAACTGCAATATTTAGAAAGTACCTTAGCTTTCCTACCAAATAAAAATACCAATACATGTAATAATGTTGTTATAACCATAATACTTTTTTTTAGACCATCTCGATAAATATTGTTGAATTTCATGCATTATGAAGTTACACATTTCATTGCCTAAAATCCGCTTTTGAAATTTGGGGGGGGGGATCCCCCTTATATGCTAGAGTGTAGGGGGATCTATATATTTTTGGGGGGATTATTTGTTAATCACTACAGGTCTTAAATGCTAGTCATACCTCAGATTAAAAGTTGCTTGCATTTGTAACCTTTTGTCTTCCTAGCTGTTGTTTTAGCCGCTCTCTCTTGCACTTACCTTTGCTTGATCTCTTTTTCTCACTTTTGAGTTAAAGGAACTTTTTTTTTTTAAGGATGGAAACCTTTCCAAGGAAAAAACTTGGAAGTTTACGTACGCAGCTTAATATATTCTTACCTCAGATCAATGCATATATATGCAAAAAGTGATATTGACACCTGTTGGAGGATCAGCGGTATCTGGGTCAATCCCAACATAACTGGGTTCGGCATCGCTTTTGATTTGTGTTTTTTTTTTTTTTTTTTCAGGAGTTGGTTTCTCTGTTGATATAACCATAGATTAGCATTTTAGCCAGCGATTCATATTTGGAATATTTTATAGGTTAAACACATTAAATATGATTACCACTGGCTTGTTAGCTAAAAGCTAAACTATGCTCTAAGAGAAGAAGAAAAAAGAAAAGAGTGTGCACCACTGAGTAGCAGAGATGGTCTTTTAGGTCTAAATCCAAAAACATTCACATTAGAAGCTACACATCACAATGATTTTTTTTAAAAGGGAATTTCCCGCATTATGAAAACCGTATTTGTGGGGAAGGATCAGATAATGCACTATTCCTGATATCCCGCTGTGAATTTCAGCCGATGCATTTCAATTTTCTTTCATAATATGAGACTCTTAATTATTCCAGCATAGATCTTGGGAGTTTCTTGGGGTTATACTGATTGCAGGGTTTTTATTTTGTGAAGTGGTGAAAGGCGATGTTTTGTAATTTGGAGCCTCGCTTGCAATTTTCAATTTTTATTTAAGTGGGGGGAATATGCTAACATCAGGGGACTTGATGCCACAACCTTTTTGCTGTAGGAGGGGACGTTAACTATAGTAGCATACAGGTACTCCAGGTACCTCCAACTGTCAGAAAGTATGGCTATCAGGTTGCATGATCTGTCTAAATGACCCTTAGGTATGAATGTGTGCAAGTTTGGTTGGTTGTCGCCTTTCTCTGTGCCTCCCTGTGATGGATGGTGATCATCCAGGTTTTAACATGTACACAGTACCCACACCCTCCTAATTGATGGCTATGTTTATTCCACTGTTTTGTTAATGTTCAGATTATATCTATTTTATTGACTTGCACAACAGGTATTAGACTTAATTTAATGTAACAGTTCATAAACTGTATGTAGGTCATGGCTGGCAATTGATGTCGAACAGAAACATGACTTTTTGGCACAAGGTAAAGCTGTTTAAGATTGGAGAGTTTCCTTGTTTTTGTTGGGTTTGACGCACTTTTGCACCTTTATAAAAAGCATGGCTCTATAAAATTCCCATTTCTGTTTAAACCCAATGTGTTTATTGCCACTGTCCTCTAAAAGGTCAGCCTAATGTAGTTGTTGGACTGCTGTTCAGCCTCCATTGGGCTTCCTCTCCTTTTAGTGTTGTCATATTTTTCCAGCAGCGTGTGATAGGTCTGGAAGTGACACTTTTCCTCAGTCTAGCATTCAATCCGGATGCATATTTAAGGAAGTCAACATAGTCACAAGATTACTGTTTGTGCTGGCCTCGGGTGGAGCTCCAGGGATGCTTCCTTAAACAAAGCAGCCTTCTAGTGTTATTATTGGTACAGGGTTTAAGATTATACAGGTGAGTCCTGCAGTGTCTTCTCTTGTTGGAGTAGAGGGGAATGATTCAGGGTATGTTGTTATGCCCAATTCCTTAGCAACACGAACCTGAATGTCCTGATTTTAC